CAGGCCGGGATGTGCGTGTGCACAGCCGCGCACACCGGCGCGCACGCAGAGCTTTCCCCTCGCAGCCCCGCACATCCACGCACGGCGGGACATTTCCTACCCGAACAGCGGTTATCCTGGTACCTTCTCCTGATGTTTCTCGCATCCGCAGGTTTGTCATTTGAGTTCACGGGCCGTATCGGCTTAGAAGCCACCAAGTGCTTCCGGAAAATGGCAGGTAAGAACAAATGCTAATAAAAATGCTTCAGGCTGGGACGTGGCGTATCTGTAACGTGTAGTTGGGATACCTGCGGTATTACTTTTTCGAATGACTGAAGTTACTTCGGGAAGCGATGCCTTTGAAAGTTCCAGTGTCTCCGAGCACTGTGTCCGAGTGCCCTCGGCCCCACTGAAATGGAAACAAACCAGCCGCTTGTGGAATTCATCTTATCACAGCCCCGAGCTTGTGTCATCTCCAGCTGCTGAACTGCCCTTGCTGAGAGTTAGCAGGAACAGCGGAGAGGTAACTGCTCTCATTGTTCCAGAATAAGTTATGGAGCAGGGGTTTAAATAATTTATACATGTATTAAATTTATGATAGCATCTGACCGCAAATTTTAATAGTCTTTTGGCAAAGCTATCGTTTCATGGACACTATGCACACTGGAGAGCTAATCACCCCTTATAATTCAGGTTTAAAATGAGGTATTGTTTCTTCAAGCATTTACCTCTGGTTCTGTTCATTACCTCTGTCACCCCGGTGGCACTCAGGGCGGTACAGCTGTGTCCCCTGGAGAAACAGAACTCAGGAGATGCCTGAGTTTGTGTTGGCACTCAGGAACCAAGGGCTGCATGTTTTGCAGGTCCACTAGTTTTCAATAATCCCTGAAAGTTTCCTTCTCTGCAATGTTTATGTAAAAATAACTACTACTTCTTTCCCTTGTGTTCAGCAATGAATGATTTTTTTAGAGAATTATTAAAATTAAATGGCCTATGTACAGTAAAATTTTGAACAAGTAACCTCTGATACACCTTGTTACATCAGTTTAAGAAGCTCCATCCCAACATACCCGTCTCGCTGTTCAATTTACCTTAAATCCACTTTGTCGGCCGTTTGAGATACACTAGACAGCTCGCTCACATCTAAAAAGAAATCATGTTGATTTCTATTGAGGCTGCTTTGATGATGCTGAACTGGGATAGTGGCATCTTAAACACTACCCTGCTGTTGTCACTTGTGCACCACTGAAATGGAAGGTGAGGGGATCCCAGCCCACCCCTCGCACTTGTGCTGTAGCTGGTCTGATCCAGCCTAGGGAGCTAAACCAGCAGACAGCTTTTTTTTTCCATTGTTGGTTGAGTTTTTTGGGAGGCAGTGGAATTGAACGCAAATGGTGACTCAAGAGGAGGGCCTGGGTTGTGCTGATGTAGGGCACTGTAGACCTGCCATGGAAATGCACCCACTGCACACTGAGTTCCACCTAGGAAAGCCCAGTGTAGCACAGAGTTGCTGGGTGGGGGACATTTACTGATTAGTTCCTCATGAGTCACTCATTGCTGCCACTGTCATTCTGCTTTCACTAGTTTTGTGCCGCTTGGAAAACACACTACAGAAAAATGCAGGACTGGCTCCACAAACTCTTCCATATCTGCCTCCTATCCTCAAAGGTATCTTCTGGTTTTCTTTCTGCCTCCAGGGAGAAAAGTCCTGGTAGTCTATGCACATCAAGAGCCCAAGTCCCTGAATGGATCTTTGAAGAGGGTTGCTGTGGAAGAATTGAGCAAGCAGGGCTGCAGTGTCACGGTGTCCGATTTATATGCAATGCAGTTCGAGCCAAGAGCAACAAGAAATGACATTGTTGGTGAGACTAGCCAAAATACACTTTTTTTCAACAATAATGAGACAAACTTTTACCTTGTCTATCCCGCTGCATTAACAATCCAGAACCACTCTGTTAGGTGCACTCCAAAAAATAGTTACTATTATTTCGTACCAATATCCCTCAACTAACAAGACCTAGCTTTTTATTTTCTATTAGCATTGACTAAGAAATGTCAGTATAGGAACCCAACAAGTATCATCTTTAGTAAAATAAATTGAATCACTAGTAATGGCCCCTCAATCAGAAAAATGAAATATCTGTATAGTGCAGATCTGAAAAAACAGTCTTTTGCCTTTAGACTAAAGTGAATGAGGGAAAGTTATTATTTTTACAGTATTTACAATTGACTGAAAACATGTTCTAAGAACAACCTCTTAATGAACAAGATTACAGATGCTTTCTGCAAGTTAGCTCCAGGCACTCAAGTGCTTGGGCTTTTGAGCTGTCTTGGCACCTCCTGACTACCTTGATATTTTATGATTACTAAAAATGACTACATGATGCAGTTAAGAGTTGAGAAAAACAGTGATGCTCTTGTTAGGCTTATGTGGGATTTTCACTGCGCTCTTACTAGCATCAAGCCCCCATATTTTTCCAGGTTAGGAAACACAAAGCCTTGACATAATCTGTGACAGCTGAAACTTTCTTTAAAACAAAAACCAAAAAGAAATAGCACAGGTCCAGTGCAAGCACTGGCCAAAACAAGGAGGAACTTACTAATGGCCAGACATAAGCATTTCTAGAGTCGACTCCTGAATATGAACCTTGGCTCATAGTGACATTACTGAGAGGGAAAAATGCTTTAGCATATGTCCACAGTCAGTCTCTGAAGTCCTTTTCTTATGGATGAGAAAAGCCCGGATATCGTTCTATGACATGTTAGAGTTTAATTCATGAGGCTACTGCCTGTCTCTTCTGCTAGAGATTAATGATCTACTAGTTGAATCAGCAGAATGAATGTGTATGTCTGATTCAGACATACCTGAATCAGCTCAACCAACTGTAGTTGAGTCAGCAGAGATGGCCACTACTGGTTGTGCAGCCCTTGCTGAGTTTCCCACTTATAGAGGCTGAAAAGGAGCTACATAGTGCTTGGGGCTGTGTGGTGGTTTCAGTAATCCCCTAATGCAGAGGCAGAGCAATTAGCAAAATTCTCTTAAATCCTCTTAAATCATCCACCTGCATCACTAGAGTCTAGAGCCAAGCTTAGGTCCCCTTACTGCACTTCCTATGTTGCTACAGAAAGGCAAAAGTTTTAGTACTCTGAGAGACTACATTCCGCTCCAGTTTAAAATCAAATAAAAATTTATAAAAAGGAAGTGGGGAAAAATGGAAAGGAGTAACTCAATTTAGAACTGTAGATTGCAACGTGTATTTAATTCTTATTTGGCTACAATGCTGGAAACAGGGCAAGGAATGACTGTTCACTTCTACCCACAGGTTGCTTGCACAACTCAGAAGAGTTCAATTATGGTGTGGAGACATGGGAAGCTTACAAGAGAGGAGATTTGTCCAACGATCTGATTGAAGAGCAAAAGAAGGTGCAGGAAGCAGACTTACTGATTTTTCAGGTAATTATTTTTAGTTCTACTACAAAGACTTCGATTGTAATATATTGGGTTGAACAAAAGCAGAGCAAGAGTGAGAAGACTATAGATTTCATTAGGAACATTGAATCTAGCCAGAGTAAAGAGAGGTGGTAGTTCTGCCATCAACGTAAAACAGTCTGTATCCAGCATAGCAATTTCAAGGTGTCAGGTTTTTCTGATACAATGTGAATTTTAGAAAATATCAAAAATACCAGGTCGAGTGAACATTATTTGTGCTAGCACAGCATGAGTTTTTCACACAAATAATGGCTCTGCACTGGTGTTTTTAGAGAATAGGAAGGCATCTGAAATGAGAACCTTAAAATACCTGAATAAAATTCACAGCAGTGCTTCACTTAAAAATTAACACTCAAAAGTAATCTGATTGTATAGTTTTTTTGAAAACTAGTCCTCACACTGCCTGCACACTCCAAAACAATTGCATTGAGCAACTCAGACCAGAAAGTATTGAGTACAAAATAATAGTATAATTCTCAATATGAGAACCATGCTGTGTTACCAGGCAGCCTGATACAGTCCTTTTGTCTTGGAACTCACGCAAAACAAACGCAGATCTACACACAGAGATGCGTGTATGGGTTAAGGCAGCCCCGCTGAGTTATGGGTTTGGGATATGTTAACAGACACCAGGCCAACAGCTCTTTAGGAGTAAACACTTTAGCTCTAAGTAAGGGTACAGTAACAAATACAGATAAGAGTACAATTATTGGAGTCATTACAACAGCAGATCCAGTAATTCACCAGCACTTGGCCAGACTTCCTGTCTGGATGGACAAAGATGTACATGACCACAGTTACCAGGCAGGCTGGCAGAAAGCAGGGCAAGGCTTATTTTCTGGGCAGGCAGCTGGGAGCAGCCAGTGGGCTCGGACAAACTTCCCTGACCAGAATGTCATCACTTATTGCTGAGTTGTAGAGCACTATCTGGACTTTCTAATGGATCATTACACCCCATCTCTGCTCTGTCCTCGGTGTCCACAAGTCCCAGGAGTACTCTATAAGGCAATTGATACTAGCCCTACATTTCTTTGTGTGTCTGCATGACTGTTGGCCTTAGGCACACTCTATATATCTTCCACTGTCTAATTCTAGATGAAATTTAGGATGTGACTGTATCTCAGTTAAGCATTTCACTGTAAGTCTTCATCATTTTTACACTATTGCTTCTGAGGTAAGTATAGTAACACATCCCCTGAAGGAAGTAGTTGCTTTCTACTTTCTGTCTGTAGAATGCTCTGAAGCGGAGTATGTTCTGGTGAAGAAAGGAAGGGGAGGAGGGAGAGGAGGGAAGAAAAGCCTTTCAAAGACACCATAAAGTAATTTAAAATTAACTGCTAGTTAAACTCACCAATTCCAAAGATAATGGTAATTGCCCATTTTCCCCGTTGTTTCCATCTTGAATTAAGCTACATGTGGATAAGCTTTTACGCCAACTTCTGTACTGCAGCGTGTATGAAGGTTTAGAGATAGCGATGCATCCTAGAATAGGAATCCATAAAGTATTCAGGATAGTGCAAGTAAGACATGATAGCTTTAGGCTGTTAGTCTCATGGGCTAACTGGAGGATCTAGAAGCAGAGGGTCCTACTGTAAAGAAGTTTTCTTCTCAAGAAAGTGATTCAGGGTCATCATGTCAGCAGGATGTGAAAGTAAGTCTTTCTTAAGATCCCATGGCATTTATCAGCAGACTGTCAGGTCAGAACAGATCACCAGATGTCAGTCCTGGTAATAAGGCTCTCTGTGTGCGTTTTAGCCATGTTCTCCCTTAGGTCATATGTTCCTTTTGCATTTCAGCAATAGGAGATGCAATGCTGTACAGTCTTAAGTTCGAATTAAATGGCACCTTCCTGCTTCATATTTCAGCTTTAATTGGTGTGGAAGCCCTGACATTCATCATGGTGTTAGTGTGCTATAGATGCTCAGGTACATACCTGAGACTGCTACAAATAGAAAGCACTTCAGTTATTTTTGCCAAGCATAGTTACTGCCTCTCCTGACAGAGAGGTGGAAGGCGGCATGTGCAATACCTGACCAGATAAAGAGAATAGGATTTGGCCTGTAGACCAGGCCTGAGCATGGCCTATATTCTCTGTGCTAATGAAGTAGTTTGCTTTTGGCCTAGTTTCCCCTGTACTGGTTCAGCATGCCAGCAATCATGAAGGGCTGGATGGACAGAGTCTTGGTCCAAGGATTTGCTCACGAATTTCCAAACTGTTATGATTCCGGTTTGCTCAAGGTATGTTTTTGAGATTATTTTATTAAGATCAAAATTTGTGGAATAGTCTTGCGGGTATTGGTCTTTCTTTTCCGTTATATTTATTTAAAGCTCTCACAAGCTCTCCTGAAATAATGCTTTGGTAACAAGCTGAGTAACTGTCTGGCATGCTAAAACTGTCTGAAAGGTAGTACAATAAGGAGAATGCAGTGGTTCCTAAAAATTTAAGTCATCTCCTAGACATTTTTAGTTAGCCTACAAAATGAGCTTTATAATGTGGTAGGTGCATCAGAGTGCTCTGGGGTGGCATACAGCTTGCAAACAGTTTACGTCAATCCATTTCCCGCAACTATAGTCTGTCATTCTTGCCGCCACCACAGGACTCCATGGACTCTGTAATGACTGACATACTAGAATAGGTGACAAGATCCTGTTCTGGGATGAGATGTCAAAGGTTGGAATTAAACTATAAAATTTAATCAGAAATCTGAAATACCCAGTGCACGAGCCTCTGTCCCAGCTATCTCCTTTCAACCATTTTTTCCTCAGTAGTTTATAAATGCAGCAAGATCAGTATCTCTAGATGACAATTCATAAATTTTTAATTCTCCATGGGACTGGGAATATCCCTGGAAAATTTTGGACCACTGTCTGACGGATCTTATTTGGTAGCAACTGCAGCATCCAGAAACAATCAATATTAATTCACATTTATATTCACTGCATATTAATCTCTTTAATTTCTGATCTTAATGATTCCAAACATCTCAGTTTGCTTAAATTTCAGAAATGACTGCCTCGCTGAGATGAATAGGAGTAATCCCCAATGGTCATAGCTGCATGCAGAGTGCAGGCTCAAGGCAGTTTGGATACTGCAACAGAAAAATGTTATTTCAATTACGGAAGCTAAAACTGAGAGTACAGAAACTGAGCACAAGCCCGTGGCTAGTACCATAGTTAAGAAGCAGAAGAAACACAAGGGTTTAGAACACCTGAGGAATAATTTGTTCTCACATTATTCCTTGGCAAGTAACAAGCAAGCCCAAGTTCGAAAGGGGACTGGAGCATTCAATTCTGCATTCAAGAAGGACCTGCATAAAGATATTCTGAGTAACAGAGTGCTTTCCAGACACAGTTTTCCAAACATCGCACAGGGGAGACTAAGGGTCAGCCCTGCTTCGTACAAGGGTGTCAGACGTGTAATTCCTTTTCTTTTTCACCTGTCTCTGCCCAAAGCCCTGACACACAGTCCACTGCCTAGTTATATGTCATCAGTCTTCCTCAGAGCTGCCACTACACATAAGGTCTGGGAAAGAAGAACGCACTACCTTTTCTAGAAATTTATGCTGTCCAGGTTCTCCTGAATACCTCTTGAACTATTCAGCCACTCTTTAAACATGCCTAACTCAAGCGCTGGTTTCTTAAATCTAGAACAAATTAGCCCTGTTTTCTTTCACCACTGGAGGAAGCAAAGAGATGTATGCAAAAGGAGGGATCAGTGGTGATATTCGCTATCTCCTGTGGCCCATGCAGGTATATAATATTAATATGAATATTTGGTTATTGTTTGCCGTAATTTTTATTATTCCAATTATTTTAACAGTTGCATTATTATATTATATTTCATACAAAATAAACAATAAGAAAGAATTAAGTTGTCAGTTCCAAGCATCTGCAGGTTATAAATTGAGCCCTAAAATCCTGAGACTACTTTAAAACTCCACCAAGTTTTAAAGTTGTTTTGTGCCCCTTCCTCCAGATTGGAATCTGGAGAAAGCTTATACTGTCAGCCTTTCTCTGAAGTTTCCAGAAGTTTCTCTGGTGTTATAAGATTTCCTTTAGCCCTAGCATGTAGGATTCCATTTCCCCATGGCTACCTGATTCATGTAGGATGTGGGGCAGGGGGAAGTCACACATTATCCTGGCATTAACAATCAGCATATGAAAGTTTTCTTACTACTGCCCTTTTTTCAGAAGTTCCAAGTGTGCTTTGAGAGATTTAGGTGGTAAGGCAAATTGTGTCAGCTACTTCTTGATGTAATACAACGGATGTGCTTCAGTCTCCTACCCATTGCAATTACTAGCTCCATGCCCTTGCAAGGCTATCTAGCTGCAGAGCTTGCAAGTCAACATGACAAAGAACATGAAATAAACCGTGAGTTCAGAAATACACAGAGAGAAAATAGCAAGTTCAGCTGATTTGAAAGGCATGAGCCTTCATTCAGGATCATTTGGCTAAGCCAGAGGCAATAGGTTAAAAAAGATACCTTGAAGTAGATGGGAAATACATTGCAGTTTACGAACAACATGTGGAGATTCAAACAGTACAATGAACTTCAGGCTGTCTCTGATCTTTGCAATTTAATAGCAGAGAGAACAGTTCTGTGGGTTTAATAGCACTTAAAAATGTGTTCCACAGAACAGAATAAATGAAGTTGACCTTATTTTTCAGTGTATTGTATGTCATTCTGCTTAACACCTAGCCTTCAATAGTGACTGCTAGGACAGTTAATAAACTTTTGCAATTTATTTCCCTTCTCCTCATAAATGCATGGGTTTAGCAGCCCTGCCTTATATTGGGTCAGAGAACCAGTGTCAGATTTGAATCTTCCACATTCTTGAACTGAAAGTGAAAGACTATTTCCTGAGGCATTTCTTTCTTTGCTTTGAGTGCAGCATGGAATCATGCACTTCTGTGGTGTCAAAGTCCTTTCACCTCACATCTGTTTTGCTCCGGAGTATGTCTCTGAGGAGAAGAGGAAGGAGATGCTGACTGCCTGGGCCCAGCGTCTGAAGACTCTTTGGAAGGAAGAACCCATAAACTGCTCTCCTGAGTGGTATTTCAAATGATGTTCAGACACAAGACTATAGAGATTTTTTTTTTCTCCATTCTTTTTTGTGCCTTATCTCAAAATCTGAATGCTAATCTCCTAATTCGAATGTATTATAAGTATCATGAGTACTACAGCTGGAGTATAGCATCTTCATTGATTCCTGAGGGATTCTCTTCAATGATGGGTAAAGAATTATCCTTGCCCATATAAACAGTGACATCCTGCCTACAAGTGGTTGGTAACACAAGTGGTATTTAATTGCAGATTATTCTGTTGATGCTTACGAAACAGTAAAGTGCATTGCAGGTTTATTTTAACACTTTTTGTACCAGCTACCACTTTTTTTTTATTTACTAGGGAATATGCTGCCCATACTCAACCTTGTTATGGCCAATCCTGTTATTTTAAATGAGTGCTCTACACTTGTGCCTTTGAGCTATGAAGCCAGATCCTGAACAATGCAAAAGGATGTACAGTTGCACAGTGACTTAGCTGGAAAGCCTTCTGGACAGCTCTAGGCTTTTCCACATATTTACAAAGCAATATTAAAGCTACGACAGATACCAGAAAAGGAAAAAAATTAATACAAGTATGATATAGCAGTATGTGCATGTATTGCCCTTCTCTATAGAACATAGCTCCCATTTGTAAAGTATGTAGTTTCCTAAAGTCAAAGGGAGTTCTCTATTTTTGTTACCCTATGTAGAGACAAAAAGGAATCCTATCTGTTCCCTGCTCTGTCACACCAGTCAGTATTGCTGTTTGGGTCTGGAGGGCTGCATCCCCTCCAGCATCAGTGTAGGCTTCCTTGGACCTCTCCAGCACCGGCAGTCAGTGAGGCAGAGCGCCTACCTGAAAACCTGCAGGAGCGCTCTCTGTCTACGAGACAGAATGTAGTGGGACAAAATGACTGTCTGGCTCTTAACATCCATTATTTTTACCTTGAACTTAAGCAGGATTATTTTTGTGCTGGAGAGCTGTTAACCCTTTTTGTGCTCATGGCAAAGGGTGGCTTTCTCGCTTAGCTACACAATTTCTTGCTTTGATCAGCTTACCTAACAGCTGGCTTTGCACTTTGATATTAAAACAACGTGGCCCGAATAAGAAACGGTCTTCTGAGTCACTGTCAAATGACATTTAGGCCTCTGCACACAGAGCATGCATCTGCCATGCATTCTTTGTAGCAGCCTTGTCATGCCCCACCCTTATGTTTCTCTAAGGGCTATTTGGATAATAAACATGCTGAGCCCAGATTCTGGAGTGGCAGCGTAAGCTGATACACCAGACTGGGAATTGCTACCACAGGGAAAGGGTCACATGTTCCTGTTTGTCACCATAAGAAGTGAAGGGCCACCTCTAGCAGAGGCAGACCCCTGGAAGCAGCACTGTGGCAGATGTCTGCTTCAGTGCATATGAGTCAAAGTCTTCAGGTTACACAAGCAAGAAATTTGGGTTGGCTCAATAACTCTTGAATACGAAAAAGAAAGTGAAAGGGAATAAAATGGAAAATGTTATACACGCAAGTTGTGGGGAAAGCAGATTCTTGCCTGAAAGACTTAAGGAGAATAACTTTAACATACCTGAAGAGAGATGGAAGGACAAATGGAAATATTAAAATTGTATAGCAGAGGAATCATCCTTATGTTCACCATGTTCAGTTACCAGACAATTCAAGAAAGAAGGAAATGGATATGAAAGCAGAAGTTGCAACTGTCAAACCAAATGTTACTTTATCGGATCAATCACAGAGCTTAGTGGGTTTAACTGTTAGATGAAGAATCTCAGACTGACCTATGTAATGAAGATACACTTCTCGACACTATTTGGCAGACATGTGCCAGCTCCCACACATGTGGTAGCATTAAGTACCTGTATTAGACTGGATATTTGTAATCTAAGTATACAAGAGTGGCTGTGCTAGCTCAGAACAAGGATCCTCCAGCCCCAAGTTTTTTCTCCGCAGTGGTTATAGGCCAGAAAGAGCAAGCACTTCCCCTGAATACTGTCCTGGGCTCCAACTATATTTAGTTTGGGGGGTTTCCTGAGCTATATATGTTTTCTCTTTATTTACCAAGCCAAATAGATGTCTGCTCTGAATTTTGTTCGGTCTTCTCTTGAATTCATGCCAACTTGAAGCAGTGAATGTTTTTCGGCAAAGTTCAGTGGGTCAGCTTTTTCTGTGCATGAAGCATTGGAATGGGGAGGGATCTTGGGGAGGGTGAAGCATCTGGTTCCCAGTAGCTTTTTTTGATTCCTCCCAGTCAACAGTAAACGATAAGTCCCATCCCTTCTTTTACGTGGCACTTAAGAGTTTTCTAGATGTGCGTCACCTCCCCTCCTAAATAATCTCTTTCCCAGGCCATGGAGTCCTGTCCTGCTCAGCTGTTCTTCCAAGAGAAGGCACTGGCCTTTGGTCACCCTTGTTGCTCTTCTCTGAACTCCTCCAGTTTCACTATCCCATTAACTGAGAAGAAGGGACCAGAAACGCACACAGAGTCAACTCCATGACTCTTGGATTCATATGACTTTCTCTGCTCCTTTCCTAATAGTCTCTGACATAGGATTTGCTTTAGCTAATGTTTTCATCTGTCATAATCCTAGATCTTGGCCATCAGTGGTAACGGTCAGCTCAAGGGCCTTCATTTTATACCTCAACTTAGGGTACTTTTTTTTTCCTCGTGCAGCCCTTTACATAATTTGAATTTCACTTCCTGTCTCATTGCCCAGTCACTCAAACATTTTTCCTTGTCCCTCCTCCTCTGAGTAATCTGTATCATCAGCAAACTTTCTCAACCTCATTGCTCATATCCTTTTCCAGATCATTTTCAACAGCTCAGATCTCTGCACTTGTAACCTCCCTCTAAGAGCTGACCATTTACTGTAGCCCTCTTTGTCCTATCTTTTAAACATATCTCCATGCTACGACGTTCTTCCTTATCCCCTACCTGCTTAATTTCCTTAAAAAGAAATCAATACAAAACTTTGTCAAAAGCTTCTTGGAAATCTAGGTAGACTGTATTAGCCAGATCACCATTCTCCACATGCTTTAACTCCTCAAGTACATTCTTCAGGAACACCATTCCAATTTGAAAGCCACTGTACAAGGTGGTATAGGATGGGGGGGTGGAACTAAGAACCACTGTTCAACTGTGACATTCTGCAGTCAATCTCAGTCCTCATCTATGTACTCTATTCTCATACAGAAATTGTTCCACATGCCTCATAATTCTTGTCACTTCATTCGATGTCTAGCTCTCCTCTATCTGTTCAGAGAAGAAGTAGTCAGAGCTGTGAGCTGTATCTCAGCTGTGGACACATAACAGATTTAACCATGTTTGCTGAAGGGTGCTGCTTTTACAATGCTTTGGAAGCCAGTCAGCTGTGCAGCAACAGTGGGTGCTGAGCCAAGAGTTAATGGCCTTGTCCTGACATGCTTTCAGTGCCTGCTATGCAGCACCCTGTGCAGGGGCACATTTATGTTTTGGCACATGCCTTTCAAAAACTCAAGGGAGAATTTTACCATGTAGAAAACCAATAGAGAGTGGTCTGTGGTTCATAAAGAGAGAGAAAGGAAGCAGCAGTATTAGTTTCTTGGTAGTACTGGAAATGTTACAGCCATTTCAATCTAAATAATGATTGCTCTGCTAAATCACATTATGCTAAAAGTCAACTGTATTCTGAAATGGCAGATGAAACATGCTTGCAACTTCAGAAAAACACAGGGAAACAAATAGATCCCCATCTGAACTACATTATCAAGAAGCCTCATAGCCTAGAGAAACAAAGACTGATTTCTTGCAGTAAGGTGCTTTTAATCCAGGTTCCAAAAACCTAACATTTATTTAAAGGCAAGTGCAGATAGTTCTTTCTTTGGTTTAATATTTGATTCCTAGAACAATGTCACTGAGGTTAGCTGCCTGCTTGCAGAGGAATATACTTTGCAATAGACACGTTGTCAAAAGGTTGTGCTGAAGAGAGGAATAGCCAATAATAAATACCATGCGTAATTCACGTACAACATTTTGGTTTTAAAGTCACTTTTAAAGTACTGCCCTTTAATGTAGTGGCAGTAGTTGATCATTTCACAAACAAGTGAGGGACATGTCTATTCCTGCAATACTTTTGTTGCTTCCATCTTACTCTGCTGGTGTTCATATATTCACAGGAACATTCTCCACAGAACAAAATATCAAGAAAAAAACCTATTGAAGCATTTGTGTCACAGTGCTTGGTGCAGACTGATGTAATAGATATATATATGTAATATATATATATATATATGTAAAAATACTGGTGAAGTTCTTGGTTTTTTGAACAGTAAAATTTAGTGAAATAATGTTTCATGACCAGTTATTTCCAACCATCCTAAGATATTTTTAAACTCCTCTAGATTCAACGGGTTGGTTTAATGCAGTCCAAATGCACAGGAATTCTGATCTCTTTGGAAAACTCAATAAGGAGACAGAAGACCAGTTTCTTCCCTAGGATTGTGCAGCCAACATACCCCATAGCTGTTTCTGAATTACCAATTGCCCTTGATGAAATGAGAAAGCATTTGTTAACATCCAACAGAGAATAAACCAAGACCTAACCAGCTTGTCCAAGCAACAGGTTGCCACAGAGGACTGCCACACCTGCAAACACTATGTACTCCAGCGAGATGTGCAGAGCAAAGGTGGTGTCTTTACTGGAATTTAATATGAAGCCAAGGGGGAAAGAAATCCTCTCAATATACTCTACATGTACACCCTTGTCTTTCTGTCCTCTGTTGCTAGGCTACACCTCAGTGTTTAGGGGATACCTCAGGTGGTCGTCTTCTGAATGTAGCTGCAGTGAAAAATTGTGGCTGCAGTCAGCCACAACAACGGTGGTTCCCAAGTCATTCAGGGCATCCCGTTCTGCGTTAGGGCTCCCAAGGGGATACGTGCATCAACACTGTTGGTTGCACAGTGCTACAGTTTCTCCAGCCTCAGCCCTCTAGGGGCTCCGAGAAAGGTAATAGAAATTTTTATTGCATGAATGAGGCAAAGCTAGCTGAAATCATGGCTTCTCTCTGTAATACCAGCTGTACCACATATCTTGACAGCTGTTGGACAGCAGTGGGACCAATCAGACCAGATAATGCTTTAGCATAAAAG